GCACTTGGTAACCGTTGGAAACCGTTTTCCCTCCAAATGCTCGAATTTCAAACCGTTCCACTCCGAACAGTCGAACACCTTCGTCGAGAAGCATCTTCGACGAGAAACACCTTCGACGTCGAAGGCAACCAACTTCTCCCTTGGAAGAAATCCTCTAAGTACATTGCCATCTTTCGATGGGCATTTCGACAGACCCAGCTGGTCGAAAACACCCATCAGCTTTAATAGCTGATGTTAATAAAAACAAGGGTGTCGAATTTAGGAGCCAACATAGTGATAGTTAAATCAAAATTACCCTTAACCATTTATTATAGAGAAAGAGAAAAAATATGTTAAAATAATAAAAAATTAAGAGTATTATAAATAAAAGAAAAATTATTGTTTAAAAAATAATAATTATTATTAATTTTATTAAAATGTGTAAAAAGTAAAAAAATAACAATAAAAAAGGAACGGAATGAGTATTTGACTATAATGTCAAAGTTTATCTTTCACGAATTACTGTTCTTGTTGATTCTCTCACATCTTTTGGCGATCCAATTTCTTCTCAACAATACTTTGATGTGATTCTAGAAGGTGTTCCACAAGATTATGGACATGTTCTTTCAGTAATTGAAAACAAATTTGAGTTTGTGGAGCTTGAAGGAGTTAAAGCCTTGCTGATTGTGCATGAGATGTGTCTTTCAAAGTTGAATAAGAAAGTTAAACTAAAAATGCCCTATATTAATCTCACAGTCCAAATAAAATGAGGATTACACTACTTTTCCCCCCTAAAGAATCCTCTGATCCTTCTTTGCTAATGAGAATGTTGATGGATGAAACTTTTGTTGGATCTATGACTTTATACACAAAAGGGGTGAATTACACGAGTTTAAAAAGATAATGGTTTAAAAAATTATCATTTTCATTTTCAAAGTTAAAAACATTTTTGATAAAAACATTTGAATAATGGCGGCAGAAAAATAAATATGCAGAAATTAAAGATTTAAGGGTAAGAAGATGTCACTGGAAATTATAGATGTTCGGTTGAAATGAAGTGACTTAATCTTATCTCCGAGACTTAATTTTGAAAATATCCAGTAATGCTTATGAGTTTTTAGTAGGTTAAACTAACTAACCCCCTTATAAGGAAAAATTGAAACTTCAGGCTAATATCTAAGCAAACAACGAACAATAGATGAAAGTGGTTAATCTTACCTCTAATCACAAACGAAGCTTCGAGTGTTTAGTCTCTCATCTTAAACTATTGAGATTTTATACGAAATTATGTTAAACCAAATATAGAGTTTTGTACTGGCTATCCTCCGAACCGAGTGATGGTTTTACATAAGACGACCATAAATCTAGTTGAAATTTTACACCAGGTTAATCTCGAATCAAAGTGGAGTTTTGAGTTGAATATCCTCTAAACTGAATTGAGATTTTACACCAAGATGATCTCAAATAAAAATGGAGTTTTTATTAGCTATACTCCAAACCAAATTGAACTTTTACACGGGCCGAGCTCTGAAACTGGACCACTGACTTAAAACTAAATTCCCAAATAAAGATTTTTAACGAGTTTAGTTTTGAGCCCATACATACACTCTCTTAAGGATGAATATTCAACCAAGAGAAAAATATACTCCTTGATGAGTTTATAATGACACCCTTTTCCAATACACAAAACCTCACTTAAGCACTATGACTTTCTCCAAGCGCCATGGCTAAAATAAAGTGAGAGAAAGTAGAAAATAATTTTTTATAAAAATTGCTCAAACACAATGGCTTACATGATTGTTGTCACCATTCTGATAGTTGTATGCTTCCTTATGTAACTTTTCCAAATTCTTATGATTGTTGATCTTCTCTCTGTTATTTGCAACTTTACCTATGTTATCATGCTTTTAAGTTTTTCAGGCTTTTCTGATATTTGATATGGATTTTGTTGGCTCTAATAATGACCTCTCTGATATGTAAGTTTTTCTATTCAAATAATCTAGACCCTACTGTTATTCAATCAGATAATCAACATGTTTCCTTTTATTTCTCTAATAATGGTAAGAAGTTGGCCACATCGGTAGAGTTGTGTGGACGAGAAGCAAGCTGCCCGGTGTCGAGCAAGAGCAAATCAAGGTTTACGGCCAAAGCTTTGGTTGAGCGACCTTCAATCAAGGTAAGGGTGAGGTTCTGACCTTATAATGGGACTTATGATGTTTGTTATGGGGAATTGGTCATTTGTAAGCATGTTGTGTATTGATATTTCTGAATTGCTATCGAATTTGCCCATTTTATTCATATTGTGGCTTGTTGGGAAGAACCGTATGACCGTTTAATGAACATGTATTAGGGAGTTGCCTGGTTATGTTATGGACGCTTTGTGTATCTGGGTGAATGCCCAATTTAATCGATGAGTAGGTTAGTGTAGATCGTTGCATGTTGTTGTGGTCGTTAGGTTGTTGTAAGTCGTTATGATAGTGTGGGCGTTACAATGTTGTAGTGGTTCGAGCAGTTGAAAGGATGTTAGGAATTATTGTTGTAGTCGGCCTTGTATGTTGACGAATCTGTTGATAGGAATATAGTTTCCCGTTGTTACATTATTCCGAGCGGTTGGCCGTAAGTTAGGAATTATAGTGGTGTGATTGTTAAGACGTTATGTTGTGTATGTGATGTTGGTCGAACTAGTGGTCGAGGAGGACGCTGATGGTGTTAAGTACCGAGCGACATATTAGGCTGTGAGGCGTGTCAAGGAGGGTATGTGCTGCATTGTCAAGCAGTATTAGGTTGCAGGACATGTCGAGGAGCATAAATTGGTCGTTAGCCTCTTTTCTCTGTGCGTGTCAAGGAGTGTGACTTAGTTGTCATGCGTCCTAGTTGTTGTGCATGTTGAAGGACACGTAGTTCCCTATCCATTTTTCCCGTACATGCTATGTTTTGGTCGTTACCAGTGCCGTGTGAAATTATTGTTAAGTTGTTGTTTGATAATGTTAATGATTGAATAGTTGATTAATGTTGATTTATGTTGAGTTGTTGTGATGTTATGATTGTTGTTGTGAAATCTTGTTGATAATGCGAACTTGCAGGGAATTTTAGATGATGATGAATTACCTCTATTTATTGGTAATAATGGTGATGTGGGCTTATGCCTTTGCGGTGAATGATGATTGTTGTGAGTATATGATAGTGCATTTATATACATTTGCATATTCTGCGATGACCTGGATTGACAAATTGCGAAGGAGGCTTATGCCTTGTTGATGTCTCTATTAATTGGAAAATTTTAAGATGGGAGTTCTGCTCCAATGGTACCACACGTATTCGTATAATATTGAGTCACATTTCAAGTAGTATGATTGAGCTGTTGTGTTGATGAATTAATTATTGTATTTTGTTGATATCTTGTTGTGAAGTTGTGGTTTTTGTATGAACTGATTCTAATATAATATTTATCATACGTTCGATTATAATGTTCGATATATCACCCCTTCTGTTTGAATGTTACCCTTATGTTGATAACGTGCAGGTAATCTAGAGTGAATGCGGTTTACCTTCAGTAGTTCGAGTCGGTGTCATTGCTCTGATACGTAACACTCAAGGGGATGAACGCTTGATGTTTAGTTGTTGATTATTATTTCATTTGTTGAATTTTAAGATGATCGTTGTTAAGTACTTGTTATTTAGAAGTTGCTTTAATGTTGGATAAAGATGTTATTATGATTCCGCTGTCTAGTTGTTCAAGTTGTTGATTTTAAAAGATTAATTTATTTTGCTGTTGGTTCATCCAAAGTTTTAAAGTGTTATGTATCCATGTTGAATGCAATGATTTTTAAGCTAAATATTGTGGCATCCTGATTCATTTGCATATGTTTTATAACTCTGATTTACATTTATATTTGTCGGGTAGAATTGGGGTGTTACAGGTGGTTAGTTGATTATTTTTAAAAACCAAACCATAACCATTTTCAAATCATTTAAATGGTTTGGATTTATACCATAACCATATTTTAATCAAAACTGATCATAAATTTGAATATAGTTATATAACTGTTTTTTTTTAAAAGTATCCGGTTTAAAAAAAATTATTTTTTAAATATCTTTTTTTCGAAATTATAAATTTTTTTTTTCTGAAAATTTTAAAAAAATTTTTAGGGGAATTTTTTTATTTAAAATAATTGCCTTTTTTTTGAAAATTTTTAATTAATTAATTTTTATTTTTTTCTAAAACAAAAAGAAATTTTTTTTTTTTTGAAAATTTAAAAAGTTATATTTAAATTAAAACATTTGAACTTTGGATAATAACCCGATTATAACTGAATCCAAAAATAATTTAATCGGTAAATAACTATTTAATTATATCTGAATTATATTGATGAATAACCACATCATTAAAAACTAATTTAGTTAATAACCATTCAATTATATTTAGATATTTAAAACGAATTTAAATTTAGTAATGAATTTGAGTCTTATAATCGAATATTTTACACACCCTTACATGTGGTTGTTTTTAAAAATAACAAATTGATTTTTGAAAAAATACATATTCGAAATAATCTTACACAAAATTTTAAATTTCCACTATAATTTACTAATATATATTTCCGAATACTTTCTTATAATGATTAATTGACGATTTATTTTATCAATGTACAAAGTTATATCTTCGATTTTTTTTTATTTTTAATTTACCTGTAGTGTGAAACCAATTTAATTAGCTTGTATGTGATACAAAAGATGTTGTATTTCTGAAAAATAAAAGGACAATTTCGGTTTTCTACATGGTGTTTTTTTTTCTTCATCACTCGCGTTTAGAGTTGCTCATTTTAATATCCTCAGCCGCAAGACTATTTCCGACATTCTCGATTTTTCCTGTTTGAATTCATAACCTCGTAGTTCATCCCAGAGTCTCGTGGTCTATCAGAGAGACTTGATAATACTTTGAATTTTAGGGGTTTTACTTGAAGAAGAAAAAAAAGAGTATGTTTTAGGGTTATACTTTGAATTTTGATTGTGGTAAGAGAATGACTGGTTCACCCGATACGAAGTTCCTGCAAGAGCTGTTGTTGTACGCAGCTAGGGCGGCGCTGAGTTACTGGGTATTGGTCACGGGACTCAGATACCTTGACCCCAACCGTGAATCAACGAAGAAAGCTCTTGAACAAAAGAAACAGATTGCCAAGCGTCTAGGTCGCCCCCTCATTCAAACCAATCCATACGAGGTACCAATTTCGCAACTTTTTTGGTGCACTACTCTACTCATGATGTTATCATGCTACTTCCGTACTCACTTCAAAGATATATTTATTTTGATGTTTGACTTGTGCCCTTTATAGGATGTAATAGCCTGTGATGTTATAAACCCTGACCACATTGATGTTGAATTTGACTCCATTGGGGGACTCGAAACTATTAAACAAGCTCTGTTTGAGCTTGTTATTCTACCCCTGAAACGCCCCGACTTGTTTTCCCATGGCAAGCTCCTTGGACCACAGAAGGGGGTTTTGTTGTATGGACCCCCTGGTACTGGGAAAACCATGCTTGCAAAAGCTATTGCCAAGGAGTCCGGAGCAGTGTTCATTAATGTCAAGATATCCAACCTCATGAGCAAATGGTTTGGGGATGCACAAAAGCTTGGTAAGTGTAATAGCTGTGTATAATTTGTCATTTTGGATGTATATGTTGAATGTGTTGCAATCTTGTTTTGCTCATTGTTAAAACTGGTATCGTGTGGAGTTGTATGTTTAGTCATGCCTTCATTGATAACATATGATTAAAGCAGTTCCAACAGAGTTTCTTTGCTTAAAAGGGAATTTTAGTTCAACACAAATTTTGCAAGTTTAATCTTGAATTTTGAATGTTGACAAACTATTTAATCTTAAAAGTTGTTATTGTTGTTATTTATAGTTAAAGAAACTTGCTTACTTGTTTTCTTTGTTACTGTTGGTTCAGTTTATTTTATTAAAAATTTAAAATGAAATTTGCTTGCATGTTTTCATTGTTGTTGTTGTTGATTCAGTACTAGGAATTTGCTCTTGTTAAAAAAACCATTACTATGTCATATTAATAAAATGCTGGATTTTTTTTGTTTTTATTTTTAGTACTAACGCTACTAGTTATTAACTCTAGTACTAACTCTAATAGACTAATATTATTTTTAAAGTAATGTTTTCATTTTAAAATTTTATTTCTAAAACTAATTTTAGTACTACTGTTATTAATTATTATATATTTTGTTTTAAACATTTTATTTTATGATATTATAACTATATTATGATAAATATATATACCAGTGTTGATGTCCTATGTTTTATATTAGCGTTATCGTATTGGCGTGTCTGTGTCGGAGTCCACACACACACAAACATACATACATAATATAGAAAAAAAATACTTGTCAATCTCAATTTGGTATACTGAGCAAGGTTTAGAACCCTAATTTTTTCTTTGGCTGTTGGGTATACTGCAATCTTTAAATCATGGGTACTTAGAATGGGGAAGATCCGGTTCCGAGTACACGTACTGTACTCGTGGTACTTCATTTTTTCTCTTTATTCTGTTTCGAGTGAATTTGTGGTTTTCTTAAATATCAATATAGTATATTTATGTATTTAATTTCTTAGTTATTGTATCATAACATTATTTTTGACTTTTTAAAACTTTTATAGTGATGTTTTGTTGTGAACCTAACAATTTAGTTCTCTACTCATACATTTTATAAAAAAAACTCTTTTTTTTTTTATCAACATACCCTTACTTTGTTTTTTTTTTAAATGCTGTATCCCGTACCGGTACCAATACCCGTATCGGGTAACGTACCCTTACGTATGTATCATAGATTGCCATGTATTGTTGTCGTTATCGGATCTCTTCCACCATGATCGGAATCCTCTGATTGACTGTTACCTGAAACCCCTGTGTCATGATCTTCTCCACATGCCGCCACACTCATAACACCCTTGCTAGTTTTTTGGTCTCACGTCCGAGGTGTGTTTCTACCGTTCTTATGCTTTAACACATTGATTTTCCACTATCTTGTGTGTTTGCATCAAACCTTTGAGTTTGTTGAGCCCATTTCTTTATCTTTCGGTCTTCCAGTTGGTGGTAAATACACCCTCCTCAACCGAGTCTCCACCTCCTTTGAACTTATATGGCATCACCCCTACTCCACCACGTGATTCAGCTCCTATTCCAAGTGCCGCTACCCCTACTCCAGCTCCTACCGCGTCTCCCGATTTACCCATTTCCATGTTAAACCCATAACGCTTATCCTATTTATAATTGCGCGTCTTACCACATTTTATCTCCCATTTACTGTGCTTTTGTTTCCACATTTTCATATGTTTCTAATCTTAAGACTATTCAAGACGCACTAGAATCTAATCGTTCTAGGAAGCTTGTTCCTCTTCCTTCTGGGAATATCTTGTAGGTTGCAGTTGGATATATAATTTTAAGGTGAATCTTGACAGACAGGTAAATCTAGGCACGACAAAATAACCCGTACCAGCGGGTACCCACCCGAACCCACCCCAAAGTTGATGGAGGAAAATCCGTTTTGATTGGATTTGGGTCCGGGTTTTGGGTTTTTCCTGATCATAAAATATGGGGATGGGTTGGGTAATGGGCACACTAGTACCCATCCCGAACTCGTCCTATTTATTTTATTATGTACATTATTATTTAATTGTTATAATTTAGAATATTAAATATGTGACTAGTGTTTTGATATTTTAATTTCTATATATTATTTAAAATATTTGAAATGTGTGTAAAATTGAGATTATTTTATTTTTTTTATTTGTAATGTAATTTGATTTTGGAAAAAATCTATATTATATTATTATTAAAAAAAATTATTTATCTAAATGGATGGTGAGGGGGCGGAGATACACGAACCTGTTTGAGACGGGTTTGGGTTTTAATTCTTTATCTCCATTGAGGTTTGGGGCGGGGAACAAAGATTGTTTGGGGATTCGGGATTGGGTTTGGGAGAGGTAAAAACCGTTCCGACCCGCCTGTTGCCATGTGTGAGAAAGAAGAGTAGAGAAGAGAAGTGTTTTCATTTCTGTAACTGAATTCTGTTTTGCTTTTTCTGTGTTCATTACAAAAGGCTCTTTGGTGCTTTATATACAGCATCAAGGGTAACCTGCTATTACGGGTTAAGCTAAGCTGATACTTACAGCTGCCGGTCAAATATATAAACTAAAATAGGGACTTAGCTACTTATATATTCAATACCATGCCTAGGTAGATCGATTCAAAGTCTTCCTAGTAATCAATTTCCAATGTCTTTGTATGCTTTGGAAGATTTAGCAAAGAGTAACAACAGTTTGGGATGATATGTTGCAAAGAGTAACAACAGTTTGGGATGATATGTTGTGAAGCAGATTACTCTCTTTATATCAAATAGTCCACGTCAAACAAGTATATCTATCTAGTGGTTTATGTTGATGATATTATGATTACTGGTGAAGATTTTGAGGGTACCGGGGGATTAAAACAACACACATATTTCAAAACTCTCATATTAAGGACTTGGGTCCTCTTCGTTACTTTCTTGGAATTGAGGTGGCTCAATCGAACTCAAGTGTTGTTATCTCTCAAAGAAAGTATGCTCTTGATATTTTGGAAGAGACATGTCTTACAGATTGTTGATACTCTTATGGATCCTAATGTAAAGCTTCTTCCTGATTAGGGGGAGCCCTAAACTAATCCAATCAGATATTGAAAACTTGTGGACAAATTGAATTAGTTCACCATGATTAGATTTGATATGTCTTTTTCGGTTAGTGTAGTAAGTTAGATTCTCAACTCTCCTTGTGATAACCATTAGCATGCAATTATTCAAATTCTTAAATACATTAAAGGATCACCCAGACAGATTTTTAATGCAAGAGGCAACATTGATATAATTGGATATTTCTGTCAATTGGGCAGGAAATGCAAGTGATAGACGACCTACATCAGATTATTGTGTTTTCATTGGTGGAAATTTGATTTTATGGAAGAGCAAAAAGCAAATTGTCGTTACTCGATCAAGTACAATGGCTGAGTATCGAGCCATGGATCATGCCACATGTGAATTATGTCCCTCTCCCCCTGTGTCCTATTTATGTGTGTCCACCTCTTTCACTAACCGGTAAACCTAACAATTAAGAGAATGAGAGCATAACAAACACTTCTGTTCTGAAGAATACCACCCCACTCAAAATTAACCTATCCCTCTAAGGTTCAATCTAACAGTTGGAACATAGAAACGCTTCGGTCCTGAACCTATGGTGTATGTTGCTGCTGGAATAATAAGAGAATGACTGCTTATATCATTCAATTCCATTTTCTTGGGGTTGCCCATGTTTTTAATAAAGGTTTAAGTAGAACTTTCTGTCTGCTCCTTTTCACTAATATTGTAACTGTGATCAATTTGGGTTTGGCTCACTAGGCCGAGAGACGGACCCGACATATTAAAACCTATGTATAGGCTCCACATGCTCCTTGTCGAAATCCAACTTTTCCTGTGAGATATGCTTTGCTGTTGTAGTCCGGAGGAGAGTGATGCTCGAAAAAAGGGCATAGAGAGATGTGCAAACAGCTCATACAGGCAGAAACCCAAATACTAGAGAAAAAATCAGCTGATAAACTCAGTTGAAGGAGGCTACCGCAGTTTCCCGCTAGATTTGAGCTCGACATCCTGTTAACACTTCCACTTTTAACCCAGAAAACTGACTATTGTAATTGATTAGAGAAATGCAGCCCATGTAATTCAGTTGGTATTTGCACCCAGTGAAATCTTGAAAGATTAGAGTTCCTAGTGATTTCACAAGTTAGCACAATGATCCAAGCAATTTCACAAGTTAGCTCAACGTTCCACGGATTCAAGCAATTTCACACGAACCACCATGTTTCAATTCTGTTTGGGATCAGCATTGTTCAGTGTCGAAGATTGATCTTACGAGTTGAAACACAATTTTACTGTACCTTGCTTGTAGGCACTCAACCACTAACTGCCGGCTTCTGTCAGCTCAGGTGGGGGTGGAAGTATGGCAGGAAATGACTAACTTCGATTTTCATGACTGCTTTGCATAGTAATTCTGCCGACAACTGTATATGTTATTCAAACACAACTATCTTGATTGACCATGTTTGACCTCCCTATCTTGGTCTTTCTCCATCATGATGATAGTATTAGACATTCGAGCACAATTACTAATAGAAAATAGTAATACTAGCCAGTATTCTTAACAAATGGTCTACGGGTAGTATGAAACTACAGATATCTCGAATTGTCTATGCAGGAAATCTTTAGTCCATAGGAGTACTAAAAATACCTTCTCTACACCCTGCCATGGTGGGATTTTCATACCACCACCAGGTTGCCCTTCTCTACACCCTGCCATGGTGGGGGTTTTCATACCACCACCAGGCTGCCTTATTTTTGTCTCGTGAAAGAATATGTAGGTAAACAATGAGACTGATCATTGAACTTGTTTTTTTAGCTTCCAATTCTCAAATGTATCATCAATAGGTTTGTTTTCTATGCACGTATTTTTATTACGGAGGGAGTATTAATTTGTATATAATTTTTTATGTGATCCTTTTGTTTTGTTCTTTGTTTAAGTGTGATTCTTTGTTGTGGTTTATCGCTAATATTTTGCTGTTCTTCAGTGTCTGCCGTATTTAGCTTGGCTGATAAGCTTCAGCCTGCCATCATATTCATTGATGAAGTTGACAGTTTTTTGGGTCAACGTCGTTCATCAGATCACGAGGCTATGCTTAACATGAAAACTGAGTTCATGGCTCTATGGGACGGATTCACCACCAACAGTAAGATTTAAATTAGTCGCCATGTAGTTTTATTTGTTGTGTAAACGGCTTTATGTTATTTTATATTTTTGTGTAGAGAATGCTCGAGTTATGGTACTTGCAGCAACTAATCGCCCTTCAGAACTTGACGAAGCAATACTCCGGCGACTTCCTCAAGCTTTTGAAATTGGATATCCAAACCGGAAAGAGAGGGCTGAGATATTGGCTGTTATCTTAAAGGGAGAAAGTATCGAAAACAACATAGATTTCAATCATATAGCGGGATTATGTAATGGTTACACTGGTTCAGATCTATTCGATCTTTGCAAGAAGGCTGCATATTTTCCTGTCAGAGAACTACTGGATAATGAGAAGAGAGGGAAACAAAGTCATGTTAGTATATTTATCATTCTCTTCTGCTTTCTTGTTAGCTGAATAGTCGTCTTATTGTGTTTTCCATATCACAATCATTGGAGATGTAAATTACTAAGCTGATTTATTAATTTTTTCACATTTCAGGAACCTAGACCATTATCGCAGTTAGATTTGGAGAAGGCTGTTGCCACTTCACAGAAAACAACGGTTGCTGCAAATGAATACGATAGAATGAACCAACAGTCATCATCAAGACGGTCGTTTCCTGGTGAGAGTGATTTCGATGTTCAAGCTGCAATCAAGGAAATTTCTAAGCTTGTGGGTTCTCACATGATTAACCTCCAAATAGATTCTCAGGATGCTTAAAATTGAGTTTCTTTTGAACACTCTTCTACTTCCATTTAGTATAGTCCTGATTGTAACATAATACTCTCGTAAAACATAATCTATATTTTGCCAAATTTTATCAGTGAACACTGTTCGGTAATGCAAATGTGTTTCTGTTGTTCCACCTTACTTTTAATGCAGTAACATGACACATAATGATCGAGACTTTGGGGAAGTAACTTGCTTTGGAGTGGGATGAGTAGGGTTATACTTTACTCAACTTGGGTTAGTAATTCATACATGTGTATTTGTTGTCTTTTAGGTCCACAAGCATATGTGATGATTCACTTCAACATTTGAAAGTCGAAGGTTCTTCCCATCCACATTTATTCATGATGGTTAAGGACCACATATTTGAACTTTCCAACCTCAAAGTATATTTCTACAGTGAATGCATTAGGACCACCACTTAGGAAGCATATATTCTAGAGTTTGTTCATCATTACTTGACGATTTGTAACGTTTGAGTAAAACATGATGTCTGCTTAACAAATTATAGATACTGGAATAGTGGATGATGCATGATTGAACACAACCAAGATGAAATATTAATATTTCCGCCGACAAAAGGCTTGAGTCTCGAGAGTGCGTTATTCTTATAATTTTAAATTTGAATCCTGTTAAGTACTAATAATTCTTGTGTTGAATTAGTCTATACAAAATTTTGCTTTGACTTAAATGAAATTCCGCTAGTAGACAGGGAAATTGATAATCTTGGACTAATCCGTCTTTGGATTAGTAGATCTCAAGATTGGATTCCCGAGTTTTCTAAACATTCATATTGTTAATGAATTGGAATTGACAATTATGTTTAGAAGTATCTCCATCGTTATCGAAAATCTTGAATTCTTGTGGAGATAGTGTCACGGCCATGCAAATGGTTGAACAGAAATGAGAAATAATCTGATACTGAAAATGGCGTGACAATTGTATTATTTAACCAACATTGAAATATAGTGTATGCAGATTTTTCGATTTTCTTATGGCTACAATCATTTTGGTTGTAGGTGTTAATTTTTCAGGTTATAAAGCCTATGATGCTGACTTTATCCTATCTTATCTTGAGCCCTTGTTGATCTTAATATAGGGTTGTCCCTATTGTTAATGACATATCCTACCGGATATTGTTTGAACATTAAAAAATTACAAAAATTGTACGTGATAATACGTTGAAATCTTTTTAAAATTTTGTTTGGGTGGATGGATATTGGGTAGGACTTAAAAAAAAAGAGAATAATTGAAGAATTAGAAGGTTTAAATAAACTGTTTAAATATAATTTTTGTTGTTATATTATTTTAAAAATAAAAATATGTCAATAATAAATATTATTTATCAATGTATACATATTTTTTTTATAAATTCTAAAATTTCTTTTATATCTAAAAAATAATCATTTTTCAAAGTCATTTTTAACCGAACTTTCAAACAATTTTCTAAAGATTTACAAGATAAACTACAACACAATATTTTAAAATTTTCACAATTAAATTTTAGTTAAATATGATCTTATAATAAGTTGTTACGTCGAGCAGAATTTAAGAGTGAGGTGGAAGATACTTGCAAGACACTCTGATGCTAAAATGAGATACAGAATGGTGCAAGCAAGTAAGAGAGTGAAAAATGTTCAATATCTGACCCTCTCAAGAGAGAAGGTATTTAGAGTCCCTAACGCTTGGCCAAAGTCTCCTCATTGGACTGGTCAAACAGGTTCAAAGTGGAGACTGCGAGGTCTTACGTGAGTAGTGAGAACCAGCACGTGATCCCCCATCTGGATGAGTTCCTCCGTACGATCAGGAGGATATGGATGCGGTCTTTCTGGGGCCACAAAGAATTTTTGATATTCAGAGACGTTGATAGTCAGTCCTACGAAGAGGATGTTCGTGGGGCGCTTCTGCTCGTTATGGATGTTCCCCGCCAGACGCGAGGTCGTACAGGAGGAACAGTCTTGGTCGAGGAGAGGATCGGAGGGTGACCTCGAGGTCCTCCTGATCGGCGATGATCCTCCTAAGACTAACTGGATTTATCCCCCATGTGGTGAGGCTGCCTCCTTGCGGAGAATGAAAGTTGCTGCCCGACGCAGTCGAGGACAAAATTGCCAGCATGTCTTGACCGACATAATTGGGTTAGATTTCACATAGAGTTGGGCCAAGGACAGGCCCAGTCCAGAACAGGAGCCCCCAAGTCGTTGCTCCTGATGAAGGAGTTACGACTTAAGTCCAACTTTTTCTTTTATGAGGTGCATCACTCGACGAGGATATTTCATTGTGTTGACAGAGAAGGTCGTCGGTACATGGGTTTACTCGAGCAACGTTCGAAATGGATTCGAGATGGAATTATTTTAGTTATTCCTCGATTCGCGGGGAGAGAAAAGCCTGCAGGGTGTAGACATGTGGCGTGACCTTTGGGATTGTAATGATGGCTTAGGGAGTAAGGGCCATCATTAACTAAGCGCGTAGATGTCGAGGAGAAGGGCGGTTGGTGAGCTGCCCAACGCGATGTTTCACATTCCACATCAGCTCTATATATAGCGTCCCAAGGCCCATTATTCACCTTTACATTCTCGCGCTCTTCACTCTCCATATTTCCAACACCGTGCCATTTTCTTCAACCGTTAACGCCGCCACAGAATCTGCCGCGTGTTCTTCATCTATCCTCGTTATTCTTCATCTACTCTTGTCCAAGTAAGTATTTTTCGTGATACTCTTTGTTTAGATTAGCTTTGATGATGTTTTAACTGTAGAACTTTGCAACTGGGAGGTTTTACTCGGGGTATTCATGTATTCACGCGTACCATTCGTGATTGAGCCAGTGATATTCTTATTTTCACCGACACTTAAATGAATTTACCCCGTGGTCTCCATACGTCCCCGCGAAATTCATGAATTTTGCACAAGAAATTTATGCAATCCCCGCCGAATTCATGAGTTTGGCCAGCAAATTCATACTTTGCTCGCTGTATTCATCCTGTGCCCGGGGTGTCCATGAAAACAAGCACTCATCGTTATAATCGTTGTATGATCTTATAAGACTGGTATGATTTTCATGCCCTGATCGAGGGCCGTGTATTCCCCCTTTTGCACGAGTGACTGTCGACTTGGTCTGAGCGCCGCATAACCATTTCCTCTACTTTATAAGTAAAATGGTCGACACTACCGAATCGTCTGAGCACATGGACTCCGAAGAGACAAGCATAGCCGAGGTGGGTGTCAACTTAGTTGACACCTTCGATGATCCTGAATTGACTTGGGTCGGGGAAGAGCCTCGAGGAATAGCCTCGATATACAATTATAACAGGAGGCAGGCTTATATTGTCGTCGAGTATGGCGGCGATCAGGAAGGTTTCCAAAGTAACTTTGAGATCTTGCGACCGACGCCCATCGCTTGAATATGCTCGGAGTTCAAGGAAGACCGCTTCCCCATGTATGGGGTCGTTTTCAAAGACTTGGGGCTTCGCCTTCCCTTCAATGATTTCTAGATGGGGGTGTTCAATCACTTGAACCTATCACCCTCTTAGCTTCACCCCAACTCCATTGCCTTCATCCGGGCATTTGAGATTACCTGTCGGTTCCTGAGGATCGGGGCGACCATTCCCCTATTCTTCAGGGTTTTTTATCTACAACGGCGGTCCTGGGGTAGGAAACACAGTTGGGTCTCCCTCAAACAGTCGAAGAGGCTGTTCCGGATGTACATGGACTCTGTCCGCGACTTCAAAGACATATGGTATATCGTGCAACCTTCTTCTCAAATAGTTGTGGACGCCGTGTTCATCCCAACTTCTGTTGTTGATGAAGACGGTGAACCGTGCTATGATGCGAAAGGCGAGCCGGAGATTGGGCGACTCTTGAAGTTTCCTATCCATTGGTGTTCGGGCTACTACGATTATGGTCCTGGGCATTACCATACTCCCGCCGGCGGCATGAGCGCTAAAGACGAAGAGGCCTATGGCGTCCTTAATCAGTTTCTCGACAGGTTCTTCCCCGCCGGGTGGGTCACGAGGGAGGGACATGACATCCTCGGTGAAGATAGTGAGCCGACATTCGAAGTGCGCTCGTCGAGTGTCGTTCTTACAGGCAAGCCGTGAATCTCTTAGGTTTCTGTTCACTTGATTTTACTATATTTTTACTTCTTGACTTCTTTTATTTTCCCGTTGAGGCTGACCCGAGGATTCTATTTTTGTTTTTTCAAGTAACATGGTAGAGCATCGTGAGATATTGTTGAAACTGATCTAAGATAAAAAGATCCTTAAGAGGTTGGTGAAGCTGCACTAGGCTACACGCATGAGTTCAGTTTGCGAACCGGTCAAGGAGGGATCAAGTGGGTCGTCGGGGAACAGCGATTCTGAGCAGCATGCTGCTGTGTTGAGCAAGAAAAGGAGTCGCTCAGAAGGTGGGATCGTCGATGTGACTAAGGGAGGGGCGACTGCCTGAACCTTCAGCCTCCCGCCCTGTTTCGTGGAAAAGGATTTCTTCGAGGGCTTCCCTCTAACTGTGTCCGACAATGAGTCTGACATCATCATGAGACTTGACGAAGAGGGTCGAAGGAAGCATCTGGATTTCGATATGGTCGGGCTGATGAAGGTGGCGGAGATGGTTGTAGTCCTGTGAGCAAATGGGCCATCTCTTCTGGTGGGGCAAGGATTTAGAGTCGGAGAAAGCAACTCTTCAGGTGAAGACACAGAAATTAAGGACCACCCTCGAACGAAGCGAGGAGATGTTTTAAGAGCAGGCCGATACGCTGGCAAGGGAGAAAGAAAGAGCTGAAAAATCCCTCGAGGAAAAGGATTTCCTCCTGCTCGACAAAGAACTGTGGGATAGAGAAAGGGAACAATTGGAGAGGGAAGTTGCTGACTTGAAGGCTTCCATGATGCCCGTGGAGGGCGAACCCGAGGGGGTAACTGATTTGTGAACTCGCGTAGATTTCATTGCTCGGATTCAAATCCTCGAGTTGGACTGTGTCGGTGCTTTGGCTGATGGCTTCG